TACTTTATTAGTTCCCTAGGTAGAATAGAATTAGATCTAGTTAGTGCCTATATAAAGACCCTTCCCCTATGTTATTATTATTCATTCAATCATTCAAGACATCAACAGAAATCCAGAACTTTGTTCTTCCAACTTTGCTTTAGTCTTTTCACCAGAATACTATTGCAATTTTATTCGTTTCAATAGGCGCGGTTGTGGCTAGAGAAACACTATCGGCGATTCAAGGCGTGGGTTAGCGGCTTATCGGCAGTCGAAACACACGATCTTCATCAGCGCGGCAGCTGCCACGACCGGCTCCTCACCGGCCATTTGGCAACTTTACTAGTGACATGCAACTCATATCAACTTATTATGATGAAAAAGACATAAAAATGCAAAGAGACACTAGGAGACCTTGGGTCAAAATGCATGTTGCCCGGTAGGGCCGATAAGGCACGTTCAGGCACTAAGGTCACCGGACCAACTTCTTGAACTTGCACAAAAGACTATGACCGAGTTACAGGCCACATAAAACATTGTTAATGAGGCTAAAATGATGGCTTATACTTGCATGCATATCAAAATGGCTCGGAGGAGAAAAAAATGAGCTAAATATCGACTTCTAGATGACCGAGCACCCTTACTTATTTTACAAACCTGTTTTACCCTCATATTACTCATGATTTATAAGGAGTTTTAAGCTCAAAAAATCAGCCTAAACATGCATGCAACGAAAAGTCTGATTTTAAGGCTTTAAGCTTTAAAAATCCGAAACTCATATTCTACCCGAGCAAAATATGATTTCTCTACATAATAAATCTTAAAATATTGTGTATCAACTAGTATAAGGAGATATAACGATCTAACCTTCAGCGGAGGATGAAAATTGGTGCTCGGGTCCTTGCTCGTGCCTACTCGGGGCTTACTCGGGCTTTGGCTTGCCCGAGGACTAATGGCTGGGCTATGATGGATTGAGGAGGCTTAGAAATGTTCAAAGAAAACTTTTATGCTGATGGACCTCGGTGGAAAATGGTTGGAACAAGCAAGAGCTCGGTGCTCCCTTTTTCGGGGCCTTGCACGCATGTGGGGAGGGCTGGACCTTCTTCTTGGTTTTCTCTCTATGTACTGAGTATTCTATGTGTCTAAGGGTCTGAAATAAGCTGAGGACTGAGTTTTATAAGGAGTTTGGGGCGGATTCCACAAGGAGAGATCATGGGAGACAAAGTGAGTGCTTCTTCCATCTCACCACATGTGCATGGGACCAAGGGCTGGTCTTGCACGAACTTTTGGGCTGTAATCAGAGCATCTTGGGCAGGAATGAGTGCTTTTACAAGTCCCAAGGCACTACGGACAAAAGCTCTTACACCTTGGAATAAAATAATGCACCTTGCACATGCTTTCTTAGTGCTAGTGCTAATTATCATGCCTTAATCATCCATAAGGCTAAACTTGGCTTAAATAACTCCTAATCCACTTATT